ATAAACAAACGACCATGAATGTACATTTGATTGTCTCACTTCTCTTATTTCTCTTATTTTATTAGATTATTTTTGAAAAATGATTATTGATTATTTAATTAATTAATTGATTTCATATATTTATTTCAAAATTCTCTATAAAATACATTTTTAAATACTACTTATAAAGACAAAAATAATATTTAAAAATATAAAAAATAGGAGCCGACCAGTAGCGGGAGCATGGTCCAAGCTACCGGTGGTTAGGGCTCCAGAGACAGAAACCTCCTCACGATACGTGCCGTTTCAAGCAGAACTGCCTTCTGTATCAGGCCCTTGACCCAACTACCTAACGCTAGCCTCCTAAGGTGGTTGTCGAGGCTATTAGGGATTAACCCATTGGCCGATACGACTATCGGCACAATGATAGCCGAATCTACATTCCACATGTCGACAACCTCGTGAGCCAAATCAAGATATTTGATTTGTTTATCTTTTTCAGCTTTCACGAGGTTCTCATCATGAGGAATAGTGATATCGATTATCATCGTGCGGCGCACTTGTCGGTCTATCACCACTATATCAGGTTTGTTGGCTATAATAGTCCTGTCAGTGATGATAGACCGGTCCCAGTACAACGTGATATGGTCATTTTCCAGAACTGGGTCGGGCACATACTTGTAGTACGGTACCTCAGACTCAACAAGTCGATAGTGTAAAGCAAGTTGCTGATGGATAATCTTGGCTACTTGATTATGCCTATGCAAATATTCACTGTTAGCCAAACGACCACAACCAGAAATAATATGTCTAATGGATTCACCAGGACTATGACATGCCCGACATATGTCAACCGTCCCATCCTTAATTATATATTTCCGGTAGTTATTCGTAAGGATAACTTCGTCCATAATTGCACAGACAAATCTTTTTAATTTGTATTGCCAGTTTTATGTATATTTTTATGATTTTTTTGCATGTTGTGGCCTCCTATAATTGAGGAAGCACATAGATATTAATTTTTGTAATGCTACTCGTGTGTGCTAAGTGTATTCCTTGTTGGAGACCCTAATTCAATAAATAAATAAATAAATAAATAAACTTATACGAAACGTACCGTCATAGGTGACTAATTAAGAAAATCGAGTACTCAACGAGAGATTTCCTCACAGATCGATAGAATTACCTACATATCTACTTACAAAGTTACATCACACGCAGACTAGCACCGTTTTGCTCCGAATCCCATCGCCACAATCACACACGAGTTTTTGGATGGTTTTATCATACTCACTCCATGGATGAACTGAATAATTAGTGTTGCAGAACTTTCAGGCAATTCTTGACCATGCTCACCTGACATACAGATGAACGTAAGCACCTTCATTAAGTACAGAATTATCGACTAAAGTTAGGAAAGTACTAAAATTAGCAAACTACACACCGAATAATAATTTTCTATACCAAATATTGAGGTTATCAAAGCATAATGGTTATAAAAATACCTAGCCGCCTATAACTCACCCTAAGCAAATTGAATCAATCCCAATTTGATTTCTTTGCTAGGCAATTATTTACAATCGTCTCGATCAATCTTTCGTGTAAAAAAAAATTCTAGGTAGGTATGTGTAGTACGCTAGATACTAAGTATTTATAGGTGATTGATAAAAACATAAAAACGGGCATTGCCGCTCAAAAAAAAGTACCTAGTAACATGACAAACAAAAAAGCAGAATGTCCTCTTCAAAACTACTGAATCCGACTACCGTATTTGCAGACAATGATCAGCAAAGCGTACCAACATGACCTATTAGTTTCTGCTCCTAGAAATAAACAAAGTGAAGTTTGCTAAATGTCCACTTAGTCGGCGATGTTCACGGAAGCAGAACTAGTTAGACTAGTTCTTGCTGCACCGGCATGTTTAAGAATGTACTAAGCGTTGCTGGTTTACGCGTATCATGGAAATAGAACGCTCTATACTCTATGCTCTGTACAAACGCGCGACTACGCTAAGTGGTTGGACTTGATTTCTTTTTCTAAATTGGGCTGATTTGATAAAAAGGAATGGATTATCTTATATAAATATAGGCAGGTACTAAATTTTGTTTTAAAAAAGTAATTTGATTTGCGCAGCTTCGTAAGTGGGTACTTCCCAAGTACCCACACAGCTAAGTAAGAGGTAGATTCCCGATTTCGTTAGAATACGAATTCTGTAAATAGTGATTATTCAATTCCTCAATTTCACTCCTAATAATATAAATATTAAGAATAGGTAAATACCAAGAACGTCTACTTGCTCACTTACGTAAAATCGTTTCGACGCGTCATCAGTTGACATCACCATAACACTAATGCCGTCACCAGCCACAGGCGTTCAAATAAGGAATCATTGCAAAAAAGAAATGGAATCTCCATTCAAATATCACTCACCGCCAAAAAAATCAACTGTCAAAATCAAATAGTGAACTGTCAAATGACGAAAAAAAACTTCGTAAGTGCAGTCTGTACTTGGTTCTATTGCCTTCCAGTTTGGCAGCAACGTATTGTCATATCAGTTCCACTTTCAACGTAACACACGACTAATAGCTGGTACTTAGCTTTACATAACCGATGTGGGTAGTGATTGACGGCTTCTACTGAATAAGGTATAAGCGCCCAGCGATTGGGCGATGAAATTTAGCACTTAGCATGTAGGACCTTCTTCCGCATATGTGCGTGTTTTGCGTGCAATTTCCAAGGTAGTGTGGTACTAAATACCTCATTAGCACTTGAATTGCGACTTCGTAAGAATTTATTACTTTCGTATTTTCCTGTTCCCGGAATCATGAGTTTTCAGCCTCATCCACATAGATTGAGAATGCCAACTTCATACGATGGCTTACATTTATCAATTTTATTTATGTCAAGATTTACATTTAAATCCTGATCATTAAGAAAAGAAGGGATCTTAAACATAGACCGATATACTTAGGATACAATAAAAAACACCTCTAAAAGAATAAAAAAAAGAAAGAACAAATACCAAGGTAAAGAAGTTTCCTATAAATGAAGTTCCGTGAATCCGGCTTCGTGGTCTATTCGCTGAAATCTTATGACGTAACGCCACAAAACTTGTCGCGCCGGTGTTGGAACATAAAAATCGTGTCACGGCCATCACATAATCGTGTATTGACAGCCGTGACTGTATGTAAATGTCTTCAGCGTGACACCTCCACCGAATACGACAAACATTATGTATTGTTATACATATATGGATAGATAAAAATGAATTAATCAGTTTGAAAATATAGGGGCGACATTTCTATCATTTTAAAGACGAGAATGAGATGAGAATGATAAAAAATATATTATTCGCAAAGCAGTCGACAGAAGAAATAAAATGGTTTCCATAAAAAAAATGTTCTCGAAATCTTAGGATCTCTAATTAGTGTCAATCACCTCAAATACTTCAGAAAATAAAATTAAAAGAAGTACGTAGCCAATAACAACAAAATAGACAATTTAAAACCATTTATTTTCACAAAAGAAACTAACGGAGTTGTAATGATTGCGTTTACGTTCATTCAATACTGCTAAATTGTTTGAGTCGCGGTTAAAGGCTCTTGTATACAATAGGTCAGTATCCGTAGCGTGCAGGATGTGGCCAATGGCTTGCACAATTTGATGCAGAGAAAAAAAACAAATAGTTATCTATGACAAATGTCATATTTTGGCGCGAATTTTGGAGAAAAAAATTATCAATGAATGTGATGCTGCTCATAGACCAAAAAAACAGATTTGGTGAAATAGTTGGACCATGAATTTTTCTACAGCGCCGTGAAAATAAATAAGACATCTACTTATTGACTTTTCAACCTCTGCATACAAGAGTCTATATACCGACATAAACGAAATTCTATTATAAAACGTATATCCTTAATAATAACACAACAAATGAGGTATTTACAAACAATATTGGTGACTTATTTAACAACACATATTATGAGCAATCAGTTCAATACACCTGTACTCCGTCATACAAAAATTGAGATTTAAAATTATTGATTTGTTAAATAAATAAAAATGTTAAAAATAATTGCATTACAAATGGATGGAATGAACACATGATGTCAAAAATTAAAAAATGACATTTTTTTTTAAATACAAGTAATGTTCTGAGAAAAAAAGTTACACTGGTAATTGGTATTGCCATATTTCCCGAATGCTGTTACCATGATTAACACTATTTAATTGAATAAATTACCTATGACTTAGCACTTTTATTACAAACTTAAAAAATTAAAGACAAACATTAAAAAGTATAATCTTATTAAATATTCTCACTGATGATACTTCACTCATTCAATTAGATTAATTGCTTAAATATAAATATTAATTTCGTGGTTGCTTATTTTGGTATAATACTGGCAGAAATATAAAAACACAGCATGTTGGATAACATGTAGTGTAGAAATTAATCTAAATTAGTATTACCCAGTAAATTATCAACATGGTAGAGCATTATCAAACATTTCAGCAATAATCAAACCTCTTTTCAAAACCTAAAAGAACTAATATTTAAGTATAGTAATTTTTTATGGAACCTCCTTTAACAATAATTTATAACTATACTCGGAATTTTAATTCGATTCCAGATTTGACAATTTCAGTGTTGCAACGTTATGACAAGTACTAAATAGTGACGTTGCGAAATTATTCGATATGGAAATGCAATATTTCTGGATCGATTCTTCATGTTTATAATTTTACTCTCGTATACTAACCGATAAATTAGTTTTGACGATTAATTAACGATCTGAGACTTTTCTTTTATAATTGTGTGTGAAATAAATAAAAAAATTCAATCATGAAGGAACATGACAAATAAAACAGATAGATGTATTATGGTAATAATAATAAGTTATTTTGTAAATTGTCGCCGTCATCGCTATCGCTATCCTGTCACTTTCTGTAACATTTATTATAAAACACACACACACTGATTGTTTATCGATTTTTGTGTTCATCACTACACTATTATATGTGGTATCATTAATTCACAAAATGACAGTAGGTATTGTCAAATCTGGAATCTAATTAAAATTCTGACTATAAATGATCCCAATATGATGTGCCATTTCTGCCAGAATAATTAAATTATGAAAATTGTCTAAGTATGAAACATTCGAGCTAAGTCGAAATGCCTCAGATCAACTAATCCAGTGTGCCCGTTTATCATACAGTAATATTCAGCTCCTAATATGTAGGAGAGCACCATGGCTCCCACAATACTGCCCAAAGAGGTAGACCTGGGCAGGAGTATGCCCGTCGCAATCAGCAGACCCACATATGTCATGTACCTTGAAGGAAAATCAACTTGTTAGTTATCTAGACAAATATTGGAGTCATACCCGAAATTAATGTTAAAATTATGATGGTATAGAACAATGTGTTAGGTTGACTCATTATAAATGATGTTAAGACATTAGTGTTTATAATATAATGTTATCCACATAAGAAAAGGGGTCAAAGTCAAAGCATTTATTTTAACTAAACCATATACAGGTGCTTTTTAGACGTCAACAAATAAAGAATAGTCTGTCAGTCTGTTTGTCAGTGAAGCTAGGGTATAACTAAACTAAACATAATACTTAAATACATACATGTAAGAAAAGTAAATGACAACTATAATTCGAAATTACACCAAAAGAAATACAAACTAAATCAATATATAATGTAACAAACGATACCAATTTATACCCAAAATAAAATTACATAAAGTACATTTTCAAATAACATACACCAATGAGTCCCACCACCAATAAAATAAAATTCCTCATTTACCTATACAACTTAATGCACACTTTCGAAGCCTATAACTCCTCATTTCTGGAAGAAAATGTATTAAAATTATAACAAAAAGAAAATAAAACACATTAAGCTCTATGCACTTAGTAATAAAGATCATTTTACTGTAAAACTAACTAGTCATCTCTGTTATTCTCAAAATGGCAATAGAAACTGCTTTCTTAGCAGTGTTGTGTCATGCATTGTCTCTTTTAGAATAGAAACCATGCAGACATTATTAGAAGGTGTTATGACTACTACTTTATTAAATCTTAATAAATGCCATGCCATGGAGCAATTAAAAATCATTGCTTAGTAAAAAAAAACAAAACTAAAAAACAAAACATTAATAAACTTAATTTAACAATACCTTGTAGTAGTGAGCTTCTCAGATTGGTCCTCATCCTCCCTATCAGCTATACAGAACTCTCCCTTCTTGGAGTATCCTTTGGCACACTTCCTGCACATGTCCGGCCCATCACCGTGGCAGGTATCACAGGACTTATCACAAGACATACAGGTGAACGATCCAATGGAGTTCAGGCAAAATTGGTCTTTATTACATTTATTCACATCATCACATTCATTGATATCCAGGCACCCTTCATCTGAGTCAAAAGTAAAGCCTGGCTTGCATGCCACACAGTCTTTCTGTGAGCCTGCCCGACAACCACCCATACAGGACACATGACACGGAGAACACAACATCTTTGTGTCATCCTTGTATGACAAATAATACCCAGTCATACACTGATCACAGTTGTCCCCCGTGTACCCAGTGTCACACAAGCAGGATCCATTTCCCTTCCTGGTCCCATCACCTCGACATTTTCCATTGCCACTGCATAATTTCTCATGGTCACCAGGGCAAGGTGTACAGTCTTTGCCGAAATGGTGTTTTGGACAACAAACTTGCATTTTTTCTATGCAGATATAGTTGTACAAGTCTGCAGATTCATCTGGGTCTTGTGCCCACCATGTTTCAATGAACTCTTCAGCTTTTTCAGCCATATGGTGGCACTGGATAGAGTTTTTGCCTTCTTTACACAGCCCTTCTTGTATATCAATTAATCTCATCTCGCTACGCTTGTAAGACAGCTTCAGTTTCTCTTCTTCCCACGCCGCGTCACCTCCCTCGTATTTACCTCTTGCAGTTCGTTCTAAGCCTTTTTTAAATGAGTCTACGAATAATTTACAAGCCTGACATTCTCCAAGATTCTTGGACTGAGTTAAAATGTCAGGGTTCACTACAGGCGGCTGTACACTGCAATACGCGAGAGGCAATATCATGAGGGCGAATAACATGTTTATTACATTTTTTCTTCCGCTTCCCATGTTGACACAGCCCTGTAAAATAGTTAATCCAACAATAGAACTGTTATACTTGCACATTTCATTCATCAAATGTCTAACAATGGTATATTTGGGCACTCTGAAACTATTGTTGTTGCATTGTCAAGTACCTTTATCGATCCAAGAGTTTTCTCGAAACACAACACTGGTTAACTCAATTCGCACCGCGAGCACAACTTAAACTCGATATATATTACGAATAAGAATTAATTCTTATTTAACACGTTTATTATAAAGCTAAAATACTGACGTGTTCTAATCAGACTCGCCGACTACTTACTTTGCTAATTTTGACGTTTCGTAAACTCAGCTGTTGACATTCAACGTCGACGTGACGTAACGCCATCTTAATTACGTTTCGTTTCACTTAGTTTAGATGGTCATGTATAAACGTTTGGTTACAGATAAATGTTACAAAAGTGATAATCTTAATCCTATATTTATTTACAATGCACACAAATATTATTTTTTTCCATAAGTTGCTTAAATTTATTCACCTACACAAAACATCTACACGATGTTGTTACGTTTATCGGCCGTGGGAGGAAATCCGTTGACCTTACAGGTATTTCGCAAACTTGTGATGTTTATGTTCTGCAAATAAAACACAGATACATAGTACACGAGCACACCGTCATACCTAAAATAGTTGTATGCATATGTCTTTAATGCAGCCCTACCATTAAAAGTATTATTTTTATTTATGAGCAAACTCAATTCATCATAAAAGGCTATGGTACACAAAGCCATCAATTTCTTTTACTTTTTACTTGAATGAATAGCACAGGAGGTTCTTACAACTCAATCTTCAAACATCTTGACCACAAAACGTTTAAAAACCTTCGATGTTTATAACATAAAAGAAAATACAATAAAACATGTGGGGAGGCGTGATCAAGATGTAAAATGATCGATAGCAGGCGAGATACGAATGGTATCCTCAATATCTTGGTATTATGCGAATAATGAATAGTACTTGAAAGGACCATCATTTATATTCCACTGCATTCGTATTCGATCATCGTAAGGTGTAGTCTTAAACAAGGACCTAATTACGTGTTCTCTTAGCCATGTTCTTTATAGCGAGTGTTGGTTGTAAATAGTACTACTTTATGATATTAAAACTTATTTTGTTTTATAGAACGCCAAGGGTCTAGAGTAAGAATAATGAGGATCATAATTTATTTATAGGTTGGACAAATCATGTGTCCATCCATACATTAAAGTTCCTTTTTTATTTGTAATGTTTATAATGATAAATTTCTTGGGACAAGAAAAAAGAACATGAGGAAGTCTATATAACAAAATTAATAAAATAAATTAACGAGGAGGAAGAACATAACCAAATACTGAAATAATGTCGTAAAACCGATTTTTAAACGTTAGATAGATAGGTTTCCATTGGGAAACTTGCTATCAACAAAAATCGTCCACATACAAAAGACAAGTCTAATGTTTAACAACAAGTAAGTATACGTAATTACACCGGCAATGATACTTGCATAATAACTTCCTGCTTTCACCGTAACAAAGGCTATTTCTCTTGCACGATGGTGAACTACAAACTCACACTTGCGGGTGGCGAAACATTGGAACTATAAAATGTATGGTTACAGGTTTGATTCGCGAAGCTACTAGCGCCACTCACCAAGAAGGTTGGTGTGTCGTCGCCAATATAATTATGTAGAACAATAAGATGTTCTTGTTGTAGTTTTAGCGCTTTTACTGCTTAGCAGAATTAAGGAAGATCATACAAGTTTACTTTTCAGTGAAAATACGAAGACGATAATATATCAAGTAAAAACGCGGGTTACTCACGTGAATATACTGAGAAAAGCTCTACTAGTTTCGAACCACAGAGGGGTTCTTCCTCATGAGCAGCGTGCGCGGTCGCGGCGACGTCGCGCAGCTCACCGATATAATATACTTGCATACTACCTACACTGGTGCGTTCTTATTCATGAATGACTTCATAATATCTATTTATGTTTTAGAACTTTTTATGTAGTCAAATCAACTTGCGTTTAAAACTTGTGAGAATCAGTACAACGAAATAGGTAAACTTGGGCAGGTAACTAAAGTGGTAACAAGTTTGACCGTGGCACATGAACAACTAAAATATGTCCTGTTTACTCAACACAGCTATCAAACAGATAGGTGATGATTATTATTTAACGAATTCCCATTGACATCGTTTAACATAATACATGTAGGTAGGTAGTCTCAGAAGGGTTTTTTTATGGCATAAGCCGGTAAACGAGCAGACGGATCACCTGATGGTAAGCAATCGGCGTCGCCCATGGACATCTGGAACACCAGAGGCGTTACAAGTGCGTTACCGGCCATTTGGGGATTAGTAGTTTGAGGATCGTTGGGTATTCAGGGATTGGGGAGATTGGGGAAGGGGAGAGTAATTGGGCCTCCGGTAACCTCACTCACACGACGAAACACAACGCAAGCGTTGCTTCACGTCGGTTTACTGTGAGGCCGTGGTATCACTCCGGTCGAGCCGGCCCATTCGTGCCGAAGCATGGCTCTCCCACACTTATTTCAGATATTGATCGATATCACTTATCAGTATGAGTACAGTTCAACGTTTCCTAGGTCAAACTGTACACATTCTTTCTATGTGTTCTTTATGCCGTTTAATATGATAATTAGTTACCTCCTTGTCATCGGCCCAAAATATGGGTGAATCATAATATATATTCTTAGTAGCAGCCCTACGGGTACAAGTCTATAGGACTCCTTTGCCTCTCTCGAGAAAAACTCGCAGTCTCATAGATTTTCCACATCGGATTGAGCAGCTACTAGATACTTAAACCGCAAAATTCTTGTAACAGTGGTTCCACGAATTACAAAATAAATAATGGGAAACCCAATACCAGTCATTCAAATATAATTATGCAAAATGTTGCAATACCTACAGTCAAGTGCACATCCATGCCGACAGTTTCACATAGACCACCACCTTTATGTAGTAGGATTAAGAGTGGTTTTCGTAAATCAAGATTTTCAAACTGACGTGCGGCATTCACGACCGTTCAGATACTCGTATCAACTTTATTTCGTTTTGTATTAATGGTTTATCGTATTAATACAATAGTACCTGCTCTCTCGGCAAAGGGAATTATTTGTTCGTTTTTGCATTGTCACACAACTGTTTTAAAAGCGAAAAGTTTATTTTTAAGATGGTATCTAGTGACTAGAGTTGCTTGGCCAGTGCCGACAATGTCAGCAATCTCACGCAATCCATACATAACATACCATTTATTTTTATGAAACGTTGCCTGTTGTTAGTATTAGCAACCTATAATAGTCGATAACTACACTAAAATGTAACACATTCTCTTACAAAATGTCACCTCATCTACCACTTAATTAGCGCTTATGAAAATAAATTGGCGGGCAATTTAATTTAATAGTAAAAACGACGTCGTCGAAAGAATAACAATTAATCCCCGTCTACATTAATGACCATCAAATAGGTTTTCAACTGGATCTTTATAAAATACTTGGCTTCGTATAAAAAGTCGTCCAGAAGTAGCCATTAAATGCCTATGTGTATAAACCACGTAAAAATATAGACATGAATTATTTTTTATTCACGCTAGATATGCGTGCAAAATGCACTTAACAATTGTCTCATAAATTATAGACATCCGATACAGGCTGTAAACGAGAACATTCCTCTGCGCTATTTTTAGGTTAAATTAAAAAGTTAAACACGACCCGTGAATGGAGTTGCGTGAAGCGTTTTACTAAACGCTGATGAAAACTGACGGTTGAAATTAATACTTATTTGCTGCACTTAAGTTTGTTCTTGCAAAGTAAACATTACTTTTGAACGTAGGGCTAATTTATTGAACTTACTAGCCCTGAATAAATAACATTAGCTACCAGAATGTATTGTAAACACAAACACGTAATAACACGTAACAGAGGCTTTTCTTTATTTTTTTCAGTTTAATTTTTGGTATTTCGTATTGTACTAAAACATTATTTCTGATTTTAAAGAAATTAACTTCTTTCTTAATATATAAGTACATAAATTGCTATAAAATTATAGATAACAAAGACAAAACAACATATAAAAGAAAATCATCAAGCTCTATTCAAAACCAATTATAATATCAGCGATCGATTTTTAATTGCCCGCCATAGATTATAGTGAGCTCCATGACTAAGCACGTTCTGACAAAACTTTAATAAAAGCTGTTTGTTCGATCTTTTATTATGATAATCTATAATCTGTGGTACCATAAGACTTGCTGAGTTAGCTAGATTGCTCCCAATGCATGGAATAAAATTTTAATCATTCAAATAATGTTTTATTTATTTGTCTTAGAGATCTTAGAGACTAAAATACTCTACACAAAACAGTCCATAAAAGTTTAGGTACCTAACTGTCATATAGCGATGCTATATTATAATCCTTATTTGTTTATAATAAGTGCTGAGAATTTACTGTTAGTGGCGCTAGTATCGCTTAAAGTCATCGCACCCTTATTTCCTATAGGTACTTTTGTAGGAAAATATGCATGTTTTAGTGAATTGTAATCAGTAATTTTATTTTGTATTAAATATTACACGAAAAAGCTACACTCAGCTAAAATGACGTTGTAAAAAGTCTCCAAAGATAAAAAAAAGAATCATTCCTTGCGCGTACTAACACCAACATAATCTTGTAAGTGCTGTAATTAAAATAATTAAAATAAACAGTTTTATGGCTATTACACAAAAGAATAAAGCCCTATATTTTAACGCCGCCTCGACTGTTAATTAAGTTTGCTAGCCGCACCTCATACAGGTAGGATTGTCGAGAGAAAGGTGCGAGTGTGAACCCTCCGCGTTGCGAATTATGCGTCAATTATTTCAGTTAGCACAAATGGAAGCGTTTACTAACATAATATAAAAGAATAAATCACACCGCGGCCATTCTCCAGTTTGACGTTTCTCGTCTAATTAACAATTGTCTAACCACTTTTATTTTTCAATAATTTGAATTAAACACATTTATGTCTACAAAACCGCGAGATTTGTAGCATGCTGTTGATGATGGAATTTGTATCTTTGATTTGTTTCGTATTTTGTTAGGTTTAAGTCAAAATAAAAATGGTTACGTTACGTTACGTCAATTACAGTAATTAGAAACATCAAAACAAGAAACGTCAAAAATGGAGAATGGCGGGCCTAAATAGGTACCTGTTCTAAGTGTCATTCAAAAATTGTGTTGTCCTATACACCGTTATACCAACGTATTGCAATTCCA